CATAATTTGGGTGCTCTCTGTGAAAATCACTAACCAACCCCACAAACCATACAATGCTATTCTGTCCTGAGCCTTTGATGGTGGGGTGGTGAGAAGGGAGGTCTTTGTGTTTCAAGAAATTCTTTTCTAAAGAGGTCACAGGCCCCCTTCCCTCATAAAATATTAGTCATGATTGGTTCCTACTTCTTTTATTTATTTTTTAATTTTATTTTTTCTTTATTTTTATTATTTTTTCAATTATAGTTGACATTCAATATTATATTAGGTTCAGGTATACATTGTAGTGCTTAGATATTTATATAATTTAGGAAGTGATACCTCCATCAAGTCTAGCACCACCATACATAGTTATTACAATATTATTGGTTCCTACTTCTTGAGTGTGAATGGTGACAAGAATTCTCCTGAGATCCCCACAAAAACCCAGCACATGGTGAAGGCCAGAGAGGCCCCAGAAGGGGGTCATGGATTGCTCAGGTGTTAGAGCTTGTTATTCTGTAGGATGTCTAAACAGTTAGAACCAGACATGGTCTAGCAGAGAGCCACTGACTCTCAGACACACACATAAACACATGCTGGGATACACAGAGCATCACACAGATTCGTAAGTACCTTCCTTATTACCCTGTTAGTAATAGGGCCTATCTTCCCAGGCTCAAGGCCAAGTAGCTCCCTCTTTCACACACATACCATCAGAGAGGCACATGCACAAATAGTTACACTCATCCCTACACACAGACACACAACAATGCACACTCACCACTGCACTTGGTCTCACATGTACACATCCATTTACTCTCAATCATAGGCATACATGCGTGGCACACATTCACATGATATAATGCCCAAGAAGGACATATATTAACTCATAAACACAGGTATACACACAAGCATACTTACGCATGCCTACAGACAGGCAGATTCTGTATTGTACCCAACGAGACAATGAACAAACATGACACACAGAGATGAGCTCCCAAATGTAAACATACACACTCCCAGACATAACCACATACACATATTCACACACACATGGATGTACTCACACATATAAACACCCAGATGTGCACATGCTTGTCAATGAGATGATGTACTCATATAGAGTCATTCTAACACACATAGACTTATACTCACAACTGGGCATGTACACCTATAAGCATACTCACATGCACATAGACTTGTACAGCATCATTCCTCTATGTATACACTCAGACATGGAGACACAACTGTACTTACGAAACATGCACAATCACAGTCAGATATGCACACAATGTACATTCCCACATGTTCATACACCCATACGAGAAGCTATGCAAACAAAAGATTCATTTACATTTACATTCCCAGACACAAAGGTATGTTTGCACACATGCACACATAGAAGAACAGTCACATAGTCTCACATACTTGTACATCTGCACAAGAAGAATTGATAACACTCATCACAGACACACATGCAAAGACATCCTTACACACACACACACACACACACACACACACACACACACATTTATAGGCCAAGAGTGACATGCACATACATTCATTTACACTGTTCCACATCATACATTCCAGAACAAATAATGGTATATAAATACTACACACATATGCAAATAATTAGAACTGTACAAACTGGTACATTCACATATCTGTACATTCAGACAGGCACACACACAGGCATATTCACACATACACTTAGGTGTGTGTGAACACATAGGAAATATACAGACATGTTCATTCAAATGCACAGCCAGATGTTAACACATACTAGCATATACACAATATATACATTCAGTCACTCACATATCCACACTCACACTCAGGAATTCAAACAGAATACATGAGATATGCATACTCAAGTATTATGAAATGTAGTTACTCATGCATACCACAATCAGACATTCACTCATACATAACCGTGTACCCACAAACACAATTAGACACATACACAAATGCATCCATCCACCTACACACACAGCCTTTTGAGCATATATATGCACACAGGCATACATCCCCCCAGCCATACCCATATACATAATCAAATGTGCACACATAGGCATACCCACAAAATGTATTTTTATGCACAAAAAATGTATTCACACACTCTCCCTTACATACACTGTTAGTTCTCCTTATACTAGTGGGACCATCTACACTAACATTTCCCCAATCAGATGTGGACCCATAGGTCTGTCTACAGACAAAATGTATTCAAATATGCATACACAGAAATATACATAATTCAAAATGCTGGAGAATGCACATGGACATTCACACACAGGCCTACTAATACATATATGTGACAGACACACCCACACAGAAACATGTTCATATACACATACCCTGCCATACACTTATGGGCATGCAATGTGCCCTTATACTCACAAACATACTGTTTAAATGCACCTACACACATATGCACACATAGGCACATGTGAATATACACAATCAGATACAACTAGGTATTCACATAACTGGACATGCATACCCAGGCAGTCTGAAACCCTCAGACTCATACACATACTGTCAGCCATGCACACTCAAAGACAAATTGATACCACACACACACAACCATTAAACAGGCCTATTGAGTCAGAGAAACACACCCTCACTCAGGCTCAGAATCAAACATGCTCACTTGCTCAACCAGGCAGACATGCAAAGTCATACCCACTCCCTTCCTTATACACACACAAGCCTACCCAAACACCCACACACTTGCATACACCATCACATGGCCTGCTTACACACTCAGGCTCATACACATCCACAGTACCCATGAACACCCCCCCACACACACACACACACGTACACACAGTCACATGTTTTCAGTTGCACATACACACCCATTCTGAGGGCCAGATGCCTCAGGACCACAGGCTGGGTCCTTTCCCTTCTGCACCAAATGCTTCTTCAGAAAAGTCTACTCTATAACCCCAAAGCCCACCCCTCCCTGCCCTTACATAGGAGATCTTTTGGACCTCAGTCTTTCCCCTCTTCCTCCTCCCAGGCCTTAAGGACCCTTTTCCAGCCACCAATCCCTCACCCAGTGTTTCACCAAATCTCCACACCCAGAAACCAGCCAGCAGACCCCACTGTTCCCTCAGCCCAGGCTCTAGGTTAGCAACTCCCTGGGACCCGACCCCCACAGGTCTGGTTGCTGCATAGGCCACACCCCAGCTTTACCCAAAGCCCTACCATCTCAGAAGCCTCAGCCTTGTCTCTAGGCCCTGCCAACCATTGACCACAGGCCAAACTCTTGCCAAGTCTCCCCTCAACGTGAAGAGGCATACATCACCAGGACCAAGAATGCTGCAGGCTGCAAGCCAGGTCTCTGCTAGCTCACAGAGGGTGGGGGCAAGCGTGTGTGTGTGCGTGTGTGTGTGTGTGTGTGTGTGTGTGCACAGACAGGGGCAAGTGCAGGAAAAGGAGCCTATAGTGGGGTGGGGGTGGGAGGCTCTGCCCACAGCCACCACTTATCACTCCCTACAAAGGAGAAGTAACAACACAGAGCTGCTCCTGCCTCCCCCTCGCCGCCTCCCCTTCGCTACCCCCCCACCCCACACGCCCCTCACGCCCCTCCCATTTGCCTACCTTCTGTTTCCCCCATCTCTGCCAAGACCCTGGAGAACAGGGATCAGCCCCTCCCCCAAATAATCAATAAAAATATTAATCATGAATAATCAGCAACAATATTGACCATGAGATTTTGCTGACATTGCTTCAGGGCCACTTCTATGCATATCCGTTATTTACATGCACCAACTCATTTAGTCACTACACACACCCATGATGAAAGTCTCTTTGACAGATGGGAAAACTGAGGTTTAGGAAGTGGCCTGCTTTCACTAAAGTTGCAGAGCTAGTAGTTGGGGAAGTGTCCCTGGAAAATCCATGTTCTCCATGCACCAGGCTTTCTTGCCCCTCCAGTCATAGGGACTACTGGCTACCATGAACAAGGCCATAAGACTGGGGGGATCCCAGGCACAACATGGAAACAGAGAAAGGTAGATGGAAGCTGGGGCCCGCACTGTGGGGATGACCCTATTGTGTCTGGCCCCTGCAGGTTGTTGTGTGACACAGTCCTTGACCCCACAGAGCCATCAGGCAGCCTAGGGCCTGGAAATGCTCCCCACTGGCACCTCACCTTCCTTTTAGCCCTACGGTGGCTTCCTCCCCCTAGCTTGGAATCACAGCAATATCTTCAGTGGTGAGTGAGCAAAAGTCTGCTACCTGTGGGGAGAGGCAGGGGAGGGAGGGAAGGGAGGGAGGGAGGGAGGGAG